CTCTAGCTGGGTGGCTGCAAGCCCTCGCCTCATGTAACCTCACTCACTGCATCCCAGAGACCACAAACGAGGGACAGAGACGGGCACTTACCTCGTACTTGAGCGACAGGAGCTTCTCATTGTGGGGGATCTCATTGGGATACTGCCGAGGGAGCTCTGTCTCCTGCAGGACGTGATGCACAGGTTAGAAGGGCCAGGTCCAAGTCCAGCCCCCCTCTCTGTCACATAACCGCTGGTTTAATGCTGGTTTTCACGTGGGAAGGACTGCAGAGACCCAGGCCCTAGAGCAAGCTGCCCAGCAGGCCAGGATCCAGGATGATTTTCCACCAGTTGGTGGATGTATGGGATTTAAGGCAGCTGGAACAGGCTGTCAGGCATGCACCCTTGCCCACTGCCTCTCCACCCTTGGGAAGGAGATTTCCCCATGGGTAGATGGAGGGTTTGCCCAGCTGGGTACCACACGGCCATGTTGATCCAGCGCTGCCGCCAAGCGGCTCTGTGCTCCAGCGGAGGGCAACCTTTCACCTCAGCTTTTTTTAAACCAAGGAGCTATTTCAAGCAGGCCTGTGATTTTGGGCAGAAACCAAATTCTGTTTCCCAAATGCCTTTGACTATGCAAGCTGTTCCCAGCCCCGAATTAGGGCATTTACCGAGGATGCCGGAGGCAGTGGCACCCTGCACCCTTCCCTGCATTAAAGCTATGGCCAAAGCCAGCCCAGCCTTTCCTCCGAGGCGCCGGATTAAGATATATTTCTTCCCATTTAAGAATTCCAAAAGAAATATTTAGCAAAAGCCTTCTTGCCATTTGCTCTTCCTACAGCTCCAGAGCTGAGGTAGGAGCACCTGGGGAAGAAAAGCTTCTCAGGTGTGCGTGGAGGGGGAATAACTTGTAACTTGAGAGTTTTCACACGATGCCCCCGTCTGCTGCTAACCCTGTCCCCAGGGCTGAGACATCTTCCCCCAGCTGCTGTCCCGCTGTACATCCCCTCCCTTGCCTTTCGCGCAGAGCTGGGCGGCAGGCAAGAGAAGCAGCTTGGAGCTCTCACGACAAGAAAGAAATCCCTTCCCACACCACTACATTCTACATTTGCTCCCGCAGGAGGAAGGTTCCTGTGCCAGCAGGCTGGTATGGGCGCTCAGAGAGGTGCAGGGGACCACGAAGTCCTTGGGCCAGCGCTGCGGCTACGAGGAAGCAGCAATGGTCAAGGCAGGGGGGCAGCCGCTGCCCGCACCACGAAGGTCGCCCAGCCCAGGAGGAAGGGCTGGAGCCCTCTTGGGATCAGTGGGATGTGAGGGGCGGAACAAAAGCAGCCATTAGTGGTGTTAGAAGAAGGGACGGCGAGCCCCTTTCCATGTCACTCACCAGCTCACGGATGTCCTCGTTGAGGTCCACATTGCTCAGCTGTCCGATGCGCAGGAAGGAGGAAGGAGTGAACTGAGAAGAGAAGGGAAAACAGGGTCAATCCCCAAATGTGCTGCAAGCCTTGGCATAAGGAAGGAGCAGGCACGCGGGTGCTTGCACTCTGTGCCCTTCACCGAGCTCTGCCTGCCTGCCCACCGCCAGAGCCCCCCGCATTGCGGCACCCCCACAGGACTGCTCTCGGAGGACACACGGAGGAGGTGGGACCCACAACCCCAGAGGGAGCACGAGGCGGCAGCAGCCTGCTGGGGTTTGGGCAAGCTGCTGCAAGCTGTTAGCTGGCAGAGCCGGCTCGCCCCAGGGAAGGTGCCCGCGGGACTGGCGAGCCGGCAGCCCCAAGAGCTGGCGAGAGTCACCAACAGCTGGCACCCCAGCACAGCAACCGTACAGCCAGCAACCCCGTGCCGAGCAGCACGTTCCACACTGCCCTGGAGCTGGGGAGGGACAGACCCCCAAACAGGAGGTGCCACCTCCATGGTCACAAGCACACCAAGACCTGCTGGGGCCATCCCTCAGCTCGCACAGCCGGCCAGCAACAAGGGATGGCCGAGAGCACGTTTGGCTCTGCCATCTGCTCCACGGGAGCGGTTCCCAGCCAGGGAGACAAGCACATCGGCACGTTCATCTCCCTCTGAGCACCCAGGACTGAAGCGACATCCGGGCCGGCTGCCAGCCAGTACAGACAAGAGGAAGCGGGGCACGTTGCTTCTGTGCAGCCCCGGGGACGCCGGTGCCTCTCCAAGCCAGCCCCAGCACGATGCTGGGAAGAAGCATTTGCGTCTCCCTCTGGGGAGATGGGTTCTCCTTTCGCTAGTGACCACTCAGGCTTGTTACTGGCAGTGATATTGCATAAGACGGGAGGTTTTGGGCTATTTGGGGCACCTCTTGTCTTTCGTCTGGCTGGGCAGTGCTGCAAGGGGACTCAGCAGAAGCAGGCAAGCTGCCATTGTGAAACACAGGGATGCACAAGGGTGCAAGCAGCACTGCCTCTAAGCACAGCCCAAACATCCATTTCTCAACATTAAGATCCTCCCCTCTGGAGCCTCACCCCTCCCCAGCTGCCAGGCTAAAGGACTGGAGAATAAAAGAGGGATGGTGAGGAACAGCGGGGCCCTGGCACATCACTCCCTCTTTGCCAGCAAGCCAGTAGATCCCAGATCGAGCCCGTGCTGCTTTAATCCCCACCGATCCCGTCTGGAACGTGCAGGCCAGAGCAGCTGGGAGCCATGCGCGTCACCACAGACAAAGAATATCCTTTTGTGTTTGCAGCCTGACCTATTTTCCCATTTCTCCGTCTGCTCCATGTTCTCAATTCACTCCCTGACCTGCAGACGGGTTTTGCTCCAGCTTCCCAAACCCTTTTTGGTGCCCTTCCACCCCCAAAAGCCTGAGCCATGGCAGGCAGGGGCATCCCCGGCAAGGGAGCTGAGGGGCTGTGGATCTGCCCACAGGAGGGGCTGAGCACAAGGTGCTCCAGGAAGCAGCTTTTGGACACATTTTTACCAAGAGCAGCCTGGTTCTGGTCCATGATGGCTCCGCAATCCCCATGGAAAGGACCTGGGCGGACTTTCCTGGCGGTCGGAGCAGACCACCACGGGCCAGGCACACCCAAAGCTGTCACCTCCCCGGGGGGAGGCAGATGGGAACTTTGGGAACTTATGCAGAGTCACAAGCTGGAGTCAGGAACTGCCCGTGTCAGTGCCCGCTGGTGCCCAGCCGCTCCGGGGGCAGGTGGAGGTCCCAGCTGGGCCCCCGCTATCCTGGAGAGGGGGGAAGGACAGGGTCCTCACCCTGAAACCCTGGGAGGAACAAAGCTGAGACCTTGCAAGGGAACTCCCCTCCACCCAGCTTCAGGAAACACAAAATTCTAAAGGTTCCCATTAGACGCCACATGTTCAGGGTAAGATCAAGGCAAGGAGATGGAAACCGTCACCATGTCCCCCGCTCACACCTGGGCTCAGACCTGAGACGGGACCAGCCCTTCAGGGAAATCTTCCTTCTCCTAGTCACTGGGGTCTGCAGAAGGACCAAGTAGGGCCAAACCGGTGACAAATCCCCCTACACCCCTTCCCTACAGAGCAAGCAGCCACGGCAAGGCAGCTCCATTCCCACTGGATTAGGCGGCAGCAAGACCCAAGCACAGATGGAGGGAAAGGAGCTACAGTTGGACCTGAAGCTGAACTTTGTTAGACAAGCAGTGTTTTTAACATGCCCCCCCTTCCCCCTAAGTCCTGGCATTCCCCCGGCATCCAGGAGGGCAGAGTCACCCTGCGAGCAAAGGGCTGGCTCCAGTCTCGCCCAGCACAGGGATCACATGCCGGGAGGACAGGAAAAAGCTACTTCCATCAGCACCTGACTTTTATAAAGAGGGACGGGGAGGGATTCAGGCAGCCAGGAGCCAAGACAGAAGGTTATTTGTGCACGGCTCAGAGATTCACTCAGCACATGGATGGTACTACCCTCCTTTGGATGCTTTTCAAACTCGGGCCAAGACAGCTGCTGATCCTAGATACATATGATTTTGGTGTGACTGCAGTACAATTATCTCCACGTAACAACAAGCACTGTTGCCAAAACCCAGAGGACGCAGAGGGTTTAACAGCTCTCCTGTCCCAGGAGAGGCTCTTGGGCCAGCGGCGTGTGAGCCGCAGTGGCACCCAGCACTCGCCCCATTTGGGCAGTAAAGCTGACTCCTTACCCATTTTGAGCTCTGCAAAGAGCTGTCTGGAGCCTTGATCTGGACCGATGCTGCTTAATGCCTCCGTTAGCAAGGCAGTTGGTACGCTGGTGGGTAGGGCTGCTCCTCAGAGGGAACTCACCAGGCTGCAAGAAAGCCCCTAAAGTTCAACAGAGGCAAATACAAAGTCCTGCACCTGGGATGGACGTGCCCCGGTGGTTAGAAAGCAGCTTTGCTGAAAAAGCCTTGTGGCAAGGTGGTGGATGAGTTGAAGAGGAGTCAGCAGCACAGGCAGTGAACCAGCTCCTGGGTGGTGCAAGATGACAGCCAGGAGGTCCGGGGAAGGGATCCCACTCCTCCACTTGGCATCTGCCAGAGCACAGCGGGGACTCAGCACCCAGTTTGGGCTCCCCAGGACCAGAAAGGCACAGACACACAGGAGTGAGTCCAGCAAGACAGCCAGGGGCTGGAGGATGTGGTAAGACATACAAGGAGAAGCTGGGGCTTCTCAGGGAAATGATCTTGAGGTCGCCTAATGAGTGGTTGCAGAGAAGATGGAGCCAGACTTTCCTCAAAGCTTTGCATTGATGAGACAAGACGCAGCAGACAAGCTGCAGCAAGAGAACTTCTGCTTAGACATCAGAGACAAATCACTCTGAGGGTGGTGGCACACTGAACCTGGGGGCAGGCCCTGGTCTAACAGATCTGCTGCTTTAAGCAGGGGCTGGGTTGGATGCCTCCGGAGGTCCCTTCATCACGCTGCCACCCGCTCCAGCACTGCCCGAGACGGGTGAGAGCAAACTCAGGATCAATCTCAACAAGAAAAAAAAAAAAATCTGTCAGAAGGTCTCAGCCACCACCTTCCCCAAGGTCAGGCAGCAGCGTCACGGG